GACCAGCTTTCTCCAGCTGTCTCCTTGATTCCCTCAAAGATCAAGTTTTTTCGCTTGGACTGTGCTTCCAATTGCTCCATTTTGTCCGTTATAGTTATTAAACTCTCACACGTTTTGTAGACGTCATCCCTCGTTTCCTTGGTTTGTGTTTTCTGTTCACCCATGGCAGCTTTAATCACATCCACCTCTCGCTGGGTAAACTGCAAACTCGTTTTTATCTCCTGTATTTCTCTGGTCATGTCGTCGAATCTCTTGTTGTTTGTCTCCATAATTAGTTGCACAAAGCCTTTGAAGCTTTCCTGCTGTTGGTTCAACAGCGCAATGTACATCTGTTTCTGATGATCCACAATGTCATTTACTTGCGCCGCTCTGTGATACATTTCTTCTGTCTCCATATCCTCATTCACTTCTGATTTATTAGCTCTTTTCCCTCTTTGAGGCATTTTAGTAGTTGTAAAGTATGCTCAAAAACTTGAAATGTAGAACAGACAAGAGGAGCAGTAAAGACGTCTCTGTGAGCCCGCTCCATCTCAATTTCTTGATGAATTTATTCACATTAGTGTGACCAGTGGAAATGCCTTAAATGCATCCCTGTCAGCTGATTGGCTTACACCGCTAGAAGCCAGGTAAAAGCTGAGTGTTCGTGAGATCCCGTCTGGGTCTTTCAGAGGAGGTTTTTCTTTCAGTTTCAGATCTTGGCCCTGTTTAAAGGTCAAAGTGTTTATTTTGTCATATGCACAGTTAGGAAACGTGTTTCCCTGTACAATGAAATTCTTACTTTGCCGTCTACATGATTCATTCATTCATTCATTTTCTACCGCTTAATCCCTGAGCGGGGTTACGGGGGGGCCGGAGCCAATCCCGGCCGGCAATCGGGCGAAGGCGGGGGACACCCTGGACCGGTCGCCAATCCATCGCAGGGCTAACACATAGACGAACAACCACACATACACGCACTCCTATGGGCAATTTAGAGACACCAATCAACCTAAGCTGCACGTCTTTGGCCAGTGGGAGGAAGCCGGAGCACCCGGAGAGAACCCACGCAAGCACGGGGAGAACATGCAAACTCCACACAGAAAGGTCCCAGGTGGGGCCCGAACCCGGAACCTTCTCGCTGTGAGGCAACGGCGCTAACCACTGTGCCACCGTGCTGCCCACTTAAAAGTTTTTTCTTGAGATAATCAACTTTTCAAAGTAGAATTTATCTTTCAGATTTAGGTTGGAGGGAAATTTTACATTTGTAAGTTTGTACACTTTATTATTTGATTCAAAAATGTTGACAAGTAGCAGTTGGTCATGAGTGAGTGGATAAAGAAACATCTAATCTAAGACAGATTTTGATGAAATGAATGACACCGCTG